CATTCTATTTTTATATATTGTTCAGTATCATCATCTAATGCAAACATTTCTGGAGAGGGAATATGTTCATTTGAAACATGAACCTTAGTAGACAACACCACATGAACTTACATGTAGGAAAATAACACTAAATTTAGAGGGACAGCTAAATAGAATACTTAGGTACTAGTATATTGTAAACAGTTCCTACTTTGTGCACTAAAAATAAATATGTAAATAGGTAGAAAGACAGTGCGGATTATTAAACCTGACATAACATATTGTTAAAATCTGTTTTTGGTATTTATAACCTGTCAAGATTCCTTCCCCACTCTGAACTCTAGGGTACAGATGTGGGGACCTGCATGAAATACCCCCTAAGCTTATTCTTACCAGCTTAGGTTAAAAACTTCCTCAAGGTGAAAACTTTGCCTTGTCCTTGAACCGTATGCTGCCACCAGCAAGCGTTTTAAACAAAGAACAGGGAAAGAGCCCACTTGGAGACGACTTCCTTCAAAATATCCCCCCAAGCCCTACACCCCTTTTCCTGGGGAAGGCTTGGTAAGAATCCTCACCAATTTCTACAGGTGAAAACAGACCCAAACCCTTGGATCTTAAGAACAATGAAAAATCAATCAGGTTCTTGAAAGAAGAATTTTAATTAAAGAAAAGGTAAAAGAATCACCTCTGTAAAATCAGGATGGTAAACACCTTACAGGGTAATCAGATTCAAAACATAGAGCGTCCCTCTAGGCAAAACCTTAAGTTACAAAAAGACACAAAAACAGGAATATAGATTCCATCCAGCACAGCTTATTTTACCAGCCATTAAACAAAAGGAAATCTAACGCATTTCTAGCTAGATTACTTACTAACTTTACAGGAGTTGTAATCCTGATCTGTTCCTGGCAAAAGCATCACACAGACAGACCAACACTTTGTTCCCCCCTCCAGATTTGAAAGTATCTTGTCCTCTCATTGGTCATTTTGGGTCAGGTGCCAGCTAGGTTACATTAGCTTCTTAACCCTTTACAGGTGAAAGGGTTTTGCCTCTGGCCAGGAGGGATTTTATAGCACTGTATACAGAAAGGTAGTTACCCTTCCCTTTATATTTATGACATAACCCATTCCTAATTTAGCTCTGAAAGAGGCACAGATACTGTGGTGGGCACAAGAAATACATTCTTGCAAGGCTAAGGAATGTAGACGGTAGGTTTAGCATGGTCAAATATTAGATATACTTCTGGGAAAAGCAGATAAGAGTCTGGGCATAGTGTTAATATACCTCTACAAGGTTCTCTGGCATACATTTAGTGTTGAATATACCTTTCTACTTCTGATCAAAATACAGCCAGAAATTGGGAGGAAATTGACTCAAGCGTACTATAACTTTTCTAACAGGTTTCAGAGTAGCAGCCATGTTAGTCTGTATCCGCAAAAAGAAAAGGAGTACTTGGGGCAGCTTAGAGACTAACCAATTTATTTGAGCATAAGCTTTCGTGAGCTACAGCTCACTTCATCGGATGCATCAGATAAATTGGTTAGTCTCTAAGGTGCCCCAAGTACTCCTTTTCTTATAACTTTTCTGTATATTTCAGATGTTAGAGGACTGCTAGTTATTGAACATCATCTTGGTAATGCTGCAGGCCTGCATCCATTTCAAAGTTTTAAGGGACATTAATGGAATATTGGCCTTCTCTGTTACTATAACAGTTCAAATAAAAAAACCAGAACTTTTAAAAATGTAGTATTACTCATCATTTTATTCTAATTATTTGCACTACTATAGTGCCTAGGAGCCCCAGTCATGAACCAGGACCTCATTCTGCTAAGGTGCTGCACAAACACAGAACAAAAAGATAGCCCAAAGATCTTACAATCTAGTTATAAGACATGAGACAATATATGAAACTAACAGATGAGAGTGCAAGGGAAAAAAGTAGACATTTGGTCAATGGGAGTTAGGCTACTAAGTGCCTAAACCTCTTTTGGAATGAGATTTAGGCTCTTAAATCAGCAAGGCATTGCAATGCTGAGAGCAGTAATGCCCAAATACTTTTAAAAATCTGGGCCAAAGACTTATCAACCTTATAAAATGTTATAGGCATATTTATAGGCTTGTTAGTGATTGTATTCCTGGATCAGTGGGTGAGCTAATGGACCTAAAGACACTTGGGGGTAAATAATGCAAATTCCCAATACTGAAACAACGCAGAGTAAGTCTTTTGACGCTACACCCCCTGAAGCATATCTTGTGGGCGTGGGGCCTGCCCGGGTTCGGGACATGTTTGCCTTGGCCCACAAACATGCCCCCTGCATCCTGTTCATCGATGAGATCGACGCCGTCGGCCGGAAGAGGGGCTGGGGGAACTTCGGGGGGCAGAGCAAGCAGGAAAACACCCTGAACCAGCTGCTGGTCGAAATGGATGGGTTCTACTCCCACACCAACGTGGTGGTGCTTGCAGGAACAAATTGCCCCGACATTCTGGATCCTGTGCTGAATGGACTAGTTTGACCTGGTTTAAGATGACTAAGACAACAAAGAACTTGAAACTGTATAAAATATCAGCCCTGACCTTAGTATGTGGTCCTTAACACTAGCTGGTAAGCCAGGCATGCAGAACAGCTGTTTATTGTTTGTAAGATGTTTTCTCTTAAATGCTTTGGTTCTAAATAAATAGTACTTTTCTTCATGAACGTAGTCTGGTCACTGAATAACCCTGTTATTCCCCGGAGAGACAAGAATTGCAGCTGCTGAAGTCACACCTGCTGAGGTGATCACAATGAACTGCAGGAATCTGGAGCCTAAAACCCTTGGATGGAGACAGACATTTCGTGGGATCCCAGCCTGAGAAAGGTGTGAGCTAGACTTGACACCTGAAACTTAAGTGGGGTGCCCTTAACTTCAACTGTGACAGCCCCTCCACAGACTACTATATATATGCTTAGGCGATAGTTGTGTGTACATCATTTATAGAGCACGCACACAAGCCAACTGCTGCATAAGATTCCCAGAAGCTAGAGAGAATACTTACTGTGCATACCCAATCTTTTTTAGATGGTGTTAACATCTTCAAAAATAATCCATTACTTTTGGAACGATCACTATTGGGAACTAGGTACTTATATGGGCCCCATTACTGTAATATGTGTGCTTCTGTGAACTTAAAAAGTGAAAAGGCTCAAAACTTCTGAAATTTCTACATTAGTCTAGATTAATGCACCAGGAGCAACTCCATTATGTACAAGAGTTTAAGCTTCATTTTTATGATGCCCATATATAATGAAGGGAATTTAATTCTTTGCATTAGTCTACATATAATGAACAGTTTTAGTCAGGATTTCATTTTTTCAGCAAACTTGCTCTTATGGTTAAAGCTGAAACGGAATGTCAAAAATTCCTCCTACTCTAACTACACTTAGTTATAGTTAATAGTAAATCAGTACATAAATCCAATTAATGTAAAACCTTGGGATTAAAATATTTTTAAGTCCACTTTGATATATAATGTGCTACTAAAAGTTGAAAGAATTCAGTATAATGTGCAGGTATCAACTAGATAAGTCTTAAAAAACAAACAAGAAGAATGCTATCTATTAGATAGACACAAATGCCTCATCTTAAAATATAGTTATGATCCCCAAATCATTTAAACTTTTAATGCAGGATGTTTGGAAACAATCTGACAGAATTCTAAGGTTTCTTTGAGGCAACAGGCTATATAAATTTACTTTTGTTCAGACTGCGGGTTGTTTCTGGCCACATTTGGAGGAGGTACTTAACCAGTCAAAACTATCTGGGATAGATTATACAAAATAAAATGACACATGAAACTGAACTTAACTTTTTTCAGATCAAATTCAATCCTGTGAACCTGGTTTCCTTTAGAGGAACAATAAGAGATAGTGAATATTAAACTGAAGGCCCAACAACCAATATTACAGCTTGAAATGCATCAGTTAAAGCCCCTCAGTTAAGGAACAATCAGTTAGTCCTATTTTTTAAAATTACCGGTGATATTCTGGGATGTGTCAGAGAATTGAGACTATTGAATAGAAAGGACAGTAAAAAGGCACATCACCACCTATACAATACCTATTTGGCTGTTTACCCTAGATGAAATCCCTTTAGCACTGAAGGAAAAGTTAGTTGTTCTAAGTCGTAGGACTTCATTGTATATTTGTTCCATATGGATTTTTATTTCATACTTAGTGTGTAGAACTTTAAGTTTGGGCTAGTTTTTTTGGTTTTGGTTTTCTACCTCTCCCAATAATTTGTCTGGTTTATCAGTACTTAGTGAGGAGTATTAAAGAGGAGCACTGCACATTGATTTAAGCTTATTCAGATTTTTTAAAAGTATTTTCATAACATTTTAAAGCAAATGGACACAGCTGTTGGGAGCGGTTTAATACTTCACTGCAATGTCAGAAAATCCATTAGCATCAAGCCAGGGCATGAAAACAAGACAGAAGTGTTTAATGCCCTTCGAATACAAAAAACAGTCAAACAGCTTAAGTTCTGTGGAAGTGGTTGATTTAAAGATAGTTTACTTTTTCTTACAAATACCTTCCTTAGGGAGGGCCATGTTCCTTTCTTGTGAGAAAATAGCTTATTTTGATATCTTGGTCATTTAAACTTGGGCAATTAGTTTATTTGAAAGTGTATACTTTTCTGGAAGATTATGTTAAACTAACAGTATTTACTACTAATTAGAAGTACTCTTGCTGCTTACAGGAATATTAGTGGAGCAGCCTTAATCAATATTATAAAATTTAATATGCCAAAAAATTATAGATAATCTTGTGTGACAAGTATACTTTCATTCAGTATTAGAATTTTAAATAGGAAATGTTCTATAAACGTGTTAAGTTTCTGAATGGCTTTATTTTTCACAGTAGTGTCATAACTCTGTTATTTACTAAGTAGCCACATCTAGGCTCTAGACTGGTTTAAAATATTTAACTTCCCTCAAGAATCAGTGTATTTAGATGTTACTGATGAAATAAAATACCCATTACCATTCTTTTCACATTTTATTCTTTAATACAAAACAAAAAGATGTAAGAAATAAATGAATTCCAGAATTAAAGTAATAGTAATTCAATGCAAGAAGTGGTAAATCAAGTATTAAATTTTATAATGACTGAGGGGCCTGGCTCAATAAATAGTATTTCTGGCTTTTCCACTGTATCAGATTTGCAGGCTTTCATGAAGTGGAAATCCAAATCTTTCATTGAAGCAGGTCCTATGTAATCTATAAAATGCCTGATTTCAAGTTCTATTTATCTTTTTCTTTTTGTTCTTTTTCTTTCTTTTCACGCTCAGATTTTGCTTCTTCCTCCTCATGTTTTTTTATCAACTGTTCCACCTCTTTTTGCTTTAGTACTCTAATTGTTGTCTTTCCATTCTCTCTTGTCAATGTTGCAATTTCAACTGAAACAGACGGAAAATATTTGCATTGTCACTTTTACCTAAAATCAGTAATATTTAATAGCCAAGGTTCTTTAGGGTTATGATTGTCAAAGGAGCCTGAGGGATTTAGGCACCAAACTCAAAATAGTCTCTTTTGAAAATCTCAGCCTAAGGCCTTGATTCTGTCAACACTTTTGTACATGTGTTACTTACTCATGTGAGTAGTAAAAAAATAAATGGACTACTCTCATATACAGGGCTGTCCCTGGAGGCGTGCAGGTCCTGGGACACAGGCACAAAGTTTCTATCTGCTGGGGGGTGCTCCCCCTGCCCCTTCCCCAAGGCCCCACCCCCACCCCCCCCTTCCCCCCCTGCCCCTTCCCCAAGGCCCCACCCTCACCCCCCCACTTCCCCCCCTGCCCCTTCCCACCCAGTTCTGCCCCCTTCCTCGAGCTCACTGTGCCCTCGCTCCTCTCCCCTTCCCCCCAGCACCTCCAGACACTGGGAAACAGCTGATCGACCGCGTTGGGAGGGAGTAGGAAGCACTGATTGGCAGGGCCCGCTGGCAGGCCAGAGGCACTGGGAGGAGGAGAAGGTTGATAGCAGGGCTCCTCCTTGCCCCCCTGCCATGAAGTAAAGGGCCCCCCAAAGCACAGGGCCTGCAGCAGTAACCCCGATTCACCATACCCTAGGGATGGCTCTGCTCATATAAACAAAGTTAAGCACGTTCTTGTTCACAGGCTCAAGGTTGAGAGTAAGTAATTCCTGCATCTGCACAACTCGCCATCGTCCACCGTCTCTATTATACTGTCGAAACTGAGTGGCAATATAATAGAGAGAATATGGGAGAGGTAATATCTTTTATTGGACCAATTTCTGTTGGTGAGAGAGGCAAGAGAGCTCTGTGTGGCTCAAAAGCATGTCTCTCTCACCAAAAGAATTTGGTCCAATAAAAGATATTACCTCTCCCACCTTGTCTCTCTAATATCCTGGGATTGACACAGCTACAACTACCCTGTGTGGCAATATAATACACTAGTTTGTTCTCTAAAACTCCATTATCACAGACTTATTTTTGACTAAAAAGCAATTGTTTGAAAAACATCCAGTTTATTGTAATCTTTTTACAGCAAGTATTTGGGTTTTTCAGCAGCAAGGAGTTAAAAGAAGTTCACCTTTAAATATGGGAGAGCAATATTGCTTACCTTTCTCTGCAGAAAGTTTGCTAACGTCCATGGTTTTGTTTAGCACTTTAATGGCTAAAGCAAGTGCAGATTTCAAGGTCATTGCTCCTTCTTTATAGTCTTGTTTTAACATTGACACAGCTGCCTGTAAGACAAAGAATGGAAATTTATTTAATGCAAAGCAATGCATACAGGCAATTTAAAGTTCTGTTGTGTCAGATGTCAGAGATCATGAATACTGCTGGCATTAACATTACTGTAGGAAATGTTTTACAACTATTTCTGCTTGTAGTAGTAATGAATATGGAATTGTGGTTAGTACAGTCCAACTGTAAACTATTTATCCATGGACAAGTTCATTTATTTTGTTTTATTAAGAAAAAATATCTTACAGCACTATTATTCCCAATGCATGTAGCTTTCCATCCTCCATAGTTTCCACTAGGATCACTCTGATACAGCTGAAATCCATAATGCTTATCCCAGCCAATGTACAGCAATGAAACACCAAAAGGACGTTTTCCTGTTAAAATACAAGGGTATTAGTCATCTAAATTTAGTAACAAGATTGGTCCTGAATGCTGCTTTAAAAAAAGAGTCAAGGAAAATGTTAAATCCTTTCCTCGGAGCTAGGATTTAATAGACTGCTCTGTACTTCTGGTATTTTAGATAAGCTCTACTATAAATCCTTTTATTGTTTCCTTCTAAGATGTGACTAAGAAAAGAATGCTGCTAGTGTCTTATTTCAATCTCTTACCCTACTAGCAATTTATTTCCATGTAAACAAACTGGAATTTATCACCTTAGTATCTTAAAACAAATCTTCAATGACCATCCTTAAATTTATAGCATAAGAGCTCCAGAAACCAGAAGTACATTAATGGTCAAGTCACACTACAAAGATAATGGAGGTTATCAGTCAGCTAGGGTCTTCTGTGTTTTAACACTGTTATTGCTTGTGTTTGTGGAAACATCACCGTTCTGTGTATTTGGAAACACTCCCTAGGCCATAACATTGTTGTCTAACAGTCACAGAACCATGTTGTCTCATCTACACTAATAATTAAAAAAAAGTGTTGGAAGACTGATGCCCCTAGCCACAGCTGCTGGTACATAGTTACACTGGTACAATATGAGTCCTAGATTTAATAAATGAATAAAATACACAAAACTAATTTCCTCCTGTTGGGATTCAGGGCGTTCCTGTGCTCAAAAAGCCCTACATCTCAGCCACCAACTTTTCAACAGTGATTAATGGCTGTGTCTATATCAGCAAATTTAGTATCTATAAATTTATAATCATTGCAGTGTCATCATTTGGAAACAAAAGTTAATTCCCTCGGCAATTTTTCAGGGGTCATTTGCACTTAGCAATTTTACAGGTCAGTAACCAAGTATTGTAAATAACTTCATAAAATCATTCTTTAGAAATTTAAAAGTTCAAATATGTTTCATTTATTACCTCCAAACTGTGTATAAGCTTGCTTGATATCACACAGTGCTGTTACCAACTGCTCACAAGGAATTGGTTCTTGATACTGCAATAGATACCTAATATTCAAAAGAAATATCAAAAATAATATTTTTTTCAAAATACTCCTTTTGTTTGTCAGCTCCATGATTCAGGTACAGAGCTCAGCACAGCAATGCATAAGATATTACTTTGATTCACAGTTTTATCAGAATGAGAATGGAAATCCCAAAACACACACAGCTGGTACCACAGCATAAAGTACTATGCCTCCCTGTTATTTAGAAATTCTTATCAGCCAATTTGCAATGTGGCTGTGATAGCAACCTCCACGGAAACTACTTTTTTGCAAGAGGGGAATGAAAAGTAAAATTAGCTAACGGAAGGATTAGAATGAGCAGAAGGTAATACAAAACAAGTCATTGAACAAAATCCCTGGCACTGGTGTCTTTATTACTAAACTTTATGAACGGAAAATGTTTGTCAAAGTTGTTTCACAAGACTTAATAAAAAACAAATCACTTTGAATTTGTCCACAATGATTAGGTTGTACATTTGTCACAAGAGTGAGTGGACTCAGTATACTACCTGATGATGGCCCGTGATCACAGACCAATGAATCTGGAACAATCTTTTTGGAGCAGGATAAATTAGGAGAGAAAACACGTTGGCAAGACAGGTGTATTGTAAAAATTAAAAAATAAATGCAGCATGAATCTAACAAAGAATGGAATAACAAGTAATCAGTTATCCAAAAAGGATTGAGGTTAGCAATTTAGTAAAGAGTACACATGCCTGTAACTTTAATTTTCAACAAAAAAATTTATTACTTGTGACATTACCATCACAATGTCTGTAAATTTACTATAAGACTACAGATATAATAATAATAAATTAAGAAAAAAGTATTAAAGAAATGGACCAGATCCCTGGGTATAATGAAAGTGTACCCTTTCACAGTTCTGGGTGATAGTATGCAAACGTAGTTTAAAATATATGAATGGCTTTGTACTCCATGAGGTGATATGGTAAATAAAATGTTTCTTTAACAGAAACCAAATTTATATTTGAGAACACTTTCTGTGATTACATATTATTTCCTTATTTAAAGAATCAGACAACCTTGAACCTGCACACGTTTATTAGGTCTTTACCTAGCTTTCCAGTAGTTAAAGGTGTTTCATTTTTTAAAAAGGACATTTCCGAAGTAAAGTACACAAACTACCTCTAACACATTAACAATAAATTGATTGTGGCACCTTAGAGACTAACCAATTTATTTGAGCATAAGCTTTCGTGAGCTACAGCTCAAAGCTTATGCTCAAATAAATTGGTTAGTCTCTAAGGTGCCACAAGTACTCCTTTTCTTTTTGCGAATACAGACTAACACGGCTGTTACTCTGAAATAAATTGATTAGCATTTCACTGGAACAGGCTAAATTCTTAGTGGACGTAATCCAAGCATTTTGGTTATCTATTTTATCCGATGTAAACGAACGGGGGAAATGATATTATTTCCTTTATTGCTCTAAATGACTAGAGATTCAGCTATAAACTGGAGCTGTCTGGAATACATAACAAGATAATGTAAAATGCAGTTTGACAGATTGTTATTTTCCATTTTCTTGGCCTGGTTTGTCAAATCATCTAAAACTGAACAAATTTATCTTCTGCTAGTATATTTAATTATCTGAATAGTGTTAAAGTTGGGTATACGCTCCATATATATAGGCCACAAAAAGGAGGCTCAAATGCAAGGCATTACATTTTATAACATTTATACAATTGGACCAGAATAGTAAACAAGAATTATAAAATAAGCAGATCCAGAGTTCAATTTGTTGACTGGTATCAAGTATTCATTAAACCATTGGTAAGGTTCTGGTAAATGTTAAAGCTCTTTTAGACCTACTCCTTTTAGTTCACATAAGCAAAACCATACATGAAAGTAAAAGCAAAACTTAATATGGGCAGGGGCTAAAATGTAGAACATTTATTCCTTTTGTTTGATTAATCTTTAATACATATACAGAGAACAAAAAAGAGAAGCACTTTCCTTGTTAGAGGACTGAATTTGAAGTCAGAGTTAGTCTTAAATCCTTATTATCACACGTTACAGCTTTTAAGTAAAGCTACAAGAATATCTGTAACCATACCTTTGTGCAATAAGTCTCAGTTCATTTGTTAGAACATTAGCATCTGAAGTTATCCCTGCAACACTGCAAGCCATATCCCTGAAATATAAATACACAAGTTCATTGGGTTGTTATTCATTCCCGAGCAATAGCTGTATCATTATGCAACATTTCAGTGGAAGAACACAGTTTCATACCTACGATCAAACCCACACACTGTAAAACAAAAAAAGGCCATAAGCTCTTGCCACTGCATTTGTCAGATACATGTTGTAACCACTCCCATAACAGTACAACAAAACAGCAATTTACATATGATTCTACAAACATGAGGATTAGTCCACGGATTATTAAATTCCAGATACTGACAATACACTCTGGACGTGTCTAGAGGAAACATATATACATTACCATTTTGCAGGCCACCTTTAACATTCTGACATAACCTTTTATTCGGGTCAAACATACGGTGCAATGACCAACTAAAACAAAACTTTAAATTCTTATTAATGGAGATTCTACAGCAGCGGTGTCCAATAGAAATTCGATGCTAGCCACACTTGTGGTTTTGAATTTTTCTTATTAGCCACATTATAAAAAAGCCACATGCATTAGACACAATTCAGTAGCCTATTAGCCACATGTGGCTAGTGGCGAACACATTGGACACCACTGTTCTAGAAGATATTCAGTGTGTGCACAACTTACAATCTGGTTAATTGTTACTGGAAAAACAATTTGAGAGAAACAGCTGATTCAGATGAGAACAGATGAGAATTTTCTTAGCTCTATTTATTTTTAACAAAAAATATTGCATAACCTTAACTGTGCCAAGTAGCTTAAATTTAGTGTTTCTCCTGCTGAACTTGAGATGGCTATAAAATATCCACTGCTCAAGCAGACAGGATCAAATACAAAAGTAGAAAAATAATCCAGGTAGTGGATTTAGAGAAAAAAAGTAGGAGCAGACACAAGTAATCACTCCTTTGATTGTAGGTAACAGGATTCCTGAATAACCCAGTTCTTTCCCCCTGCTAAATAAGCCCCTGGCTGCCCCTGGGGTTGGGAAAGAAAGGGAGGGAGAAAGAGGACAAAGTCACTTATGCCTCACATGCACCGAGCAAAACTCCAGTGAACATGAGTATCCAGACCTTTATTGGGCAGAGTGGAAAACAATCCACAGTATGATTCTTGTTGATAACACTGGTAAAAAAAATCTGAATGATTAGAAAAAAAGATTGAGAAATGGAGATACGGATCATCTCTATTAGAGTTATGTCATAGAATATTAATGCATGCTTTACTCATATCCACAGAAAATACAAAAGATAGAACGAATGCACGATTTGAAATGTGACTTACAGCCTATACAAACTAAAGATTACATTTGAACAAGGCAGGGACCAATGCTATTGCAGAAATAATGCGCAGAATTGTTCAGTTTTAAAATAGAACAGAGAGCAAATGAAGAAAAACAATGGAAGTGGAAGGTAATGTATGTAACAGAGTGCACATCACAGAAATATGAAAACCTATCAGCAATAGAAGCAACGGATAAATTTGTTCAAGAGCGAATCTGAAAATTAGGAGAAATGAGGGAATCAGAGAGCACTGCTCTTGATTAAAAGATTAGGGGATTTTTTTGCAAGACTTTTTGCTTTTTCATAGTACTTGGTAAGACTGGGCATTATCACATAAATGCTAATGCAGTGATAGCACCTTGTATTGGGAAATACGAGCTCCCATTACAAAAAACATTCCCATATTAGCTTTAACATATGGGTTACTCTGTCTAAAGAAGAAAAAGGTTTCGCTTTAACCATAATTTTTGAAAGCTATTAAAGTTAACACTGATAAAATAATTTCACTCAAGAACTCAAAACTCATCAGTAACAAAGAAAATCAGTTTTAATTATGTTGTTTGAATGACAGAGGTAATTAAATACCCTATTAGCACTTATAACAGCAGTAAACATCTTTCACCAACATCTCAACTTACTCATTAAGCTTGTATATTTTCTCTGAAAAAAAGACTTCATCAAGAAGCTTGTGGATGTTGCGCCGTTCTGCTGCTAACAATACACCATCATTTGCTAAAATTCCCAGGCAAGTGCCTGCATGTCCAATTGCTTCCATAGCATATTCAACTTGATACAAACGACCTAGGAAAAGAGGTTTCAATTGGTAAATTCAACCATTTAACTCTGAAGAGGGGCAATCCTACAAGGTGTTGAGCACCTCATACAACATACTAAGAAAGCATAACTCAACCAACTCTCACTGTAATCACATCATCACAGGATCAGGTTCTAGGTCTGTCACTGATGGCAAGTTAATTGGTCAGAATCAAGTAGGAAATCCAATGAACACACACAGTGGCAGGTTCAGATAGAAATAAGCATTGCCCTTACAGAGAATTTTAAATGCAAGTTATCTACAACAGTGGTTCTCAATTGGGGGTCCACAAACACTTTCAGGGGTCTGCAGGGCCCCACGGATAAAATCCAGAGCCCGAGCCCCAGCACCTCCTGCAGGGCTGAAGCCAGGAGTTGCTGGATTGAAGTCCTGATCCTCAGCACCCCCCACAGGGCTGAAGCCTGGAGCAGCAGGGCTGCATTCCAGAGGGGCAGAAGCCCTGAGCCCATGGGCAGAGTTGGAGGGACACAGGGGTGTTGCCCCCCTGAAACTACAGTGCAAGAGCAGGGCACTCCTGGGGCAGCAACACCCCCCTCCTGCTGCTCCCTGGCCAGGTAGGAGGTGGGAAGCCAGACCAGGCAATGCAGGACAGCTGTTGCTCTGGCTGGTGCCATGGAGCAGGCAGCTGCAGTGCTCCCTCATCTCCTGCTGCTACTGGTGCAGGGGGTTGAAGCTGCTTCTCAGCTCCCAGCCCCCTTTGCTCACACAGCCGGTCAGAGCTGCCTGGGCTGGGGGACCTGGCTCCATGGCTGGCAGAGCCCTCGGGGAACAGAGACCGCAAGAAAGGCCTCCTGGCACATAACCCCTAGCTACCCCCCTCCCTACACCCTGAGCTACCCCTCTGCCCGCACACAGCCCCTATCTACTACCTCCCTGCACCATGAGTGGTTTTCAAACGTTTGGAGCTGAGCCCCCACCATTGAGTTATAATTTTTGGTTGCGCCTCCCTCCCCACAATCCACACAGGCAGGTGGGTGGCCTGCTGACCTGCGTCAGAGCGTGGTGGTGGTGCTCCCTCTCCAGACCCTACTGTGCGGAGCTGACTCGAGCCCCCCTGCCCAGAGCCCCCTCCTCTCCGCACTGGGCCCTGGAGTTTTTATAGTATGGTGTGGGGGGCCTCAGAAAAAAAAGGGTTGAGAAACCCTGATCTACAAAACTAACTGAAGCAGAAACGGAGACAAAAAACATGGATTCTTCAAGATTCAAAAAGGAGTTTTAGACACGTCCATGAATAAGTAGCATCAAATGTTACATTAGGTAGGATACTATTGTATGGGCTATTAATACTCATGTGTTAGGGCTTAGCCAATAGCCAAGAGATGTTTTCCTTGTATTATTCCATTGCCTAGGATGTACAATCTTTTTTTAAACACAAATTTTCCAGTTTAAATAAAGCATTTTGTTAAATGTCTGTGCAGCGTTGTTCAATTAGAGTATTTCAGGCTGGATTCTTGAACAGGTACCTTTGGGGGGGGGGGGGGGAGGCCCCCACAGGTCAGTGTACTTTGAGTACTGAATAAAAAATAACCAAATATATATATATATATATAAAAAATAGTACTGAAGAATGGTTTGAATTTTGGAAGGTTAACACCTTCCTCTGATGCATTCAGCATTAAACACTGTTGACAAAAGGAAACAGTATACTGAGTAGATAAACCTTTGGGTCTGTTTCTACATGAAAATTCTTATGCTTTTGCAATTCATACTTTTGTGCATTGTTTCCGTAGCTATAAGGATGAATGCAGTTGTCTTTCTGGAAACTGGGGATGTATCCAGGCTCGCACAAGCAACTCTCCAGCTGACAAAGTTTACTGCAAAATCTCACTGAATTTTTCCCAAAGCTGGACTGAAAAAACGTACTCAAATTTACTACCAAAAGGGTGGTGGCAGTCAGCATGTAATTCACTGCCAATGGAATAGGCAAGAACCATATATAAATTAAGCTGGAGAGCCTTCAAAAAGAAATGTAAAGAAGCAGATCTCACTTAGATAGAGAAACTTTTATACTTTATTCTTAAAATTATCTCAATTTGCATTAAAATTAATAGCATATCTCCACTATGGTCATGAAATCCCTTCTAGTTTTGGATGTTCCTCTTAATGTGAAGATCTGATTTCTGTGTCACAGATGAACTCAGGCAAATTGTCAACACTCAAGACCTCTACATATTTCAGTTGCTATTTAAAATTCTTGGGGAGGCATAAGGATAGAAGTTGATTGGTCATGTGGTTCCCATTTACAGAACAATACCTTCTGGAGAAAATATAGTAGTTCTGGAATCATATCTTCGAGACTGTAACAAAAACATAACAGAACTCGTTATTTTTTTCCCTTTAAACAGAACAAACTTTATTCAGTAATATTGGCAATCATGTTCAGCAGTAACATAGTGATTTCAGTTTAATATCTGTGAGGCGTATAGCATTACAGGTAGTTTTGTTACCATTATTGTATTAGTTACCTTTTGTTACTAGTCAAGGGATGAGTGCTCAATTTACTTCAACGCTTTTTCCTCTTATCCCTATCCCAATCATTGTATTCCTCACAAAGCTTTACAACTAATGCTGTAAACACTTCTGCACATGCTTAATTTACGTAAAAAATCCCAATTTAAGGTGGGTAAAGTTAAACACATGTATAAGTATTTTCAAGACTGGGGCCTCTGTTATTTAAAGTCATTTAGCTGCAGAGAGCTTAATGATACTGCTGAACTCAGGCACCAAAAGGGATATATTTCATGCATAGTAACTCACCATCTTGCTTGTATTTTACACTGTAAAAACAAAACAAACAAAAAAAACCTAATCAATACAAAGAATAGGTTCATAGAACATAACTACACATATCACTTAGACATTGAAAAATGATGTACAAAAGTACTAATTACAGTAATTAGCCCTCAATAATAGAAGGGGTTTTTTTAAATGTTGTAATTAAGTTTTTAATATACATGAATCTCACTGATGAGATCATTAAAAGGGGGTCGTAGGAATCACCTTGACAGGTGATAAGTAAACCCGATTAAAAAGGTCCCTTTTAATGAATTATATCAAAGCAGAAGTCGTCGTAATGGAGCAGATCAGTGCCTCTACCTACTGGGCAAGTGTTGAGGCTGGGACAGGTTTCTCCCCCTCATTCTCCTTGCGAAGTCCCTATTCCCAGAGAGAGAAATCTTGGGACAGAGAAGAGCTCATCCCCCACACGAGAGGAACTTGGGAGCTAAGTCCCCACCACCTCCCCCTTACACCCCGGCTCACTGAGAGGGCGGGGGGAAGAGAAGCAGGCCCTGCCCAGCCCCCTTACGCCCCGACCTATCGAGAGGGGCTGGGGACAGCCACAGTCCCGTGAGAGAGGCTATGGGGTTCCCCAGCCCAGGGAGGCCGGCTGAAGCCCAGTTCGCAGGCGGCTGCACTGCAGAGTCATCCCCCTCCCCCCGCAGCACGGGAAGGCCTCACCGCCGCCCACTTCACACCGGGGGCTGCTACTCTCCGCGGGCCGGGCCAGCCCTGCCCCTCGGGCGGCCGCCCCGCACTCACCGCCGCACTACGGGGTCTCGGCCGCCGGGAAGAGACTGTCCTGCCACCGGCGACTGACTCAACGTCGCACCGCTCGCCAAAATGGCCGCCGCGCACGCGCGATAGCATGGCCTGGCCCGCTGGCCGGGGGACTCCCGAGTCCCGGCTCAGCGACGCGCTGCCGGGGACGAGGAGAGGCGGGGCGGGCGGCTCGCTGCCTAGGGAGGTAGGGCCCGGTGGGGGACCGCCCCGCTCCCAGCCCAGGCCTCTCGCTCTCCTCTCCTGCAGGTCCCCGGGCCAGGCGCCTCCGAGCTGGAGCAGGGAGCGCGCTGTCTCACCGGCAACGGCTGGGCTCCAGCCTCTTCAATGTGTCCCTCATTTCAGCAGCTCCGGAACTGCCTCGCTAAACCGACTTGTCCCTGACAACGCGCCAGCCCTGGGGAGGCCTTGAATCTGCTCGGCCACCTCGGCCTGGCGCCATGGCGCTTCAGGCTCCTCCGCTCTTCTTCAGTAACCAGATTGGAGAGAGAGAGAGAGAGAGAGAAATAGTGGTGTCCCCCCGGGGCCTGACCTGGGCGCAGTCCTGTTCAGTATATTCATCAGTGATCTGGAAAAAGGGGTAAACAGTGCGGGGGCAAAGTTTGCAGATAATACAAAGCTACTCAAGATAGTTAAGTCCCAGGCAAAGAGCGAAGAGCTACAACAGCATCTCTCAAAACTGGGTGACTGGGCAACAAAATGGCAGATGAAATTCCATGTTGATAAATGCACAGTAATGCACATTGGAAAACATAATCCCAACTATACATATGAAAAGGTGGAGTCTAAATTATCTGTTACCACTCAAGAAAGATCCTGGAGTCATGGTGGATAGTTCTCTGAAAACATCTGCTCACTGTGCAGTGTCAGTCAAAAAAGCGAACAGAGTGTTGAGAATCATTAAGAAAGGGTAAGATAAAAGGACAGAAAATATCCTATTGCCTCTATATAAATCCCTGGTACGCCCACATCTTGAATACTGCATGCAGATGCGATCGTCCCATCTCAAGATATATTGGAATTGGAAAAGGTTCAGAAAATGATTAGGGATATGGAAAGGCTGCCATATGAGGAGAGATTAATAAGACTGGGACTTTTCAGCTTGGAAAAGCGATGACTAAGGGGGGGATATGATAGAGGTCTCTAAAATCATGGTGTTGAGGGCAAGGGGTTGGGGCTGAGGAGGGGTGTGGAGTATACAAGGGGGCTCAGGGCAGGGGGTTAGGGTGCGGAGGGCAGGAGGTTGGATGCAGGAGAGGTTTGGGGTGTGGGCTTCAGCCTGGCACCACTTACCTTGAGCAGCTCTGGGGTGGCAGCGGCACACAGCGGGGCTAAGACAGGTTCCCTGTCTGCCCTGGACCCACGCTACTCCCAGAAGTGGCCGGCACCACGTCCCTGGGGTAGGGCGTGGGGGCAGAGGGCTCCATGTGCTGCCCTCACCTGCAGGTATCTCCCCCAAAGCTCCCATTAGCCGCGGTTCCCTGTTTCCGGCCAATGGGAGCTGCGGGGGGCGGTGCTGGCAGCTGAGGGCAGCGTGAGGAGCCCTCTGCCCCACCCACTCCCACAGGAACCTCAGGGACGTGGTGCTGGCCGCTTCCGGGAGTGGTGCGGGGCCCACAGCGCCACAGGGGTGGCAATCCCGCGGGCTGGATCCGGCCCACGGGCCATAGTTTGTCCACCCCTGCCCTAGCCTCTGTTGCAAAAAGCTGGGAATGGGTGACGGGATGGATCACTTGATGATTACCTATTCTGTTCATTCCCTCTGAGGCACCTGGTATTGGCCACTGTTGGAAGACAGGATGCTGGCATAGATGGATCTTTTGTCTGACCCAGTGTGGCTGTTATGTCCAGCAAGGTTATGCCAGCAACCACGGTATTAGTGTGAAGGACTGGCACCTTGATACCACTTAATTTTGGGTGTATCCAGGTGGAATTACTGCTGTGTCTTTGCACTACATTTGAATTCTTCACCAGACATTGTAAAAAAGTCCATATGAAATAAAATCTCAACTGGCAAAGATTAAAAGGATAAAATAAAGTCTGTGTATTATGCCAAAATTAAACATGGGGAATTCATCTGAAAATACACTTTATGTGATCAGGCAAAGATGGACAAGTAGGATTAAGAACTAGATCCAAAGTTCACTGAAATTTAGGAGAATATTTCAATTGATTTCAGTGGCCTTTGGCTAGACTTAGAGAGTATCATAGAATCATAGAAGATTAGGGTTGGAAGAGACCTCAGGAGGTCATCTAAACCAACCCCCTGCTCAAAGCAGGACCAACACCAACTAAATCATCCCAGCCAGGGCTTTGTCAAGCTGGGCCTTAAAAACCTCTAAGGATGGAGATTCCACCACCTCCCTAGATAACCCATTCCAGTGCTTCACCACCCTCCAAGTGAAATAGTATTTCCTAATATCCAACCTTGACCTCCCCCACTGCAACTTGAGATCATTGCTCCTTGTTCTATCATCTGCCATCACTGAGAACAGCCAAGCTCCATCCTCTTTCGAACCCCCTGTGATACATGAAGTGGGGGGAGGGAGTAGCTCCCTTCGATGGACACTCAGCCAGCCAGTTGGCTGTAAAATCCCTCTTGGTCTGTTCTCTGTTTGCTTTACCTGTAAAGGGTTAACAAGCCCACAGGTAAAAGTAAAAGAGTGGGCACCTGACCAAAAGAGCCAATGGGAAGGTAGAACTTTTAAAAATTGGGAAAAAGAAACTTTCTCTTTGTTGTTCTCTGGGCTGCAAGGACGGAGCAGCAATGCTGTGTAAGGCTTGATCCAGGTATGAAAATTCATCTTCTATACGTAGAAGAAATTATTTGGATAGGGAATGTTTAGTTCGACACAATCAGGTTTATTTTTTATTTTGGTTTGTGGATCTCCTCTATGCTAACCCCAGATGCTTTTGTTTGCTTGTAACCTTTAAGCTGAACCCCCAAGAAAGCTATTTTGGATGTTTGATTTTTGGAATTGCTCTTTTAAACTCTAGCAAAAGCCTGAATTCCAGATGTAACTTTAAATAAAATTTACCTTTTCTAAGAACAGGGATGGATTTTTGGTGTCCAAAGAGGTTTGTGCATGTTGTTTGATTAGCTGGTAGCCACAGCTAATTTCCTTTGTTTTCTTTCTCCGCTCTTTCCCGGAGGGAGGGTGAAAGGGCTTGAGGGTACCCCACGGGGAGGAATTCGCAAGTGCTCCTTCCTGGGTTCAAAGGGTTGGGGTTTTTTTGCATTTGGGTGGTGGCAGCATTTACCAAGCCAAGGTTAGAGAAAAGCTGTAACCTTGGAGTGGCAAGTATTAATTTTTAAAATCCTTGCAGGACCCCACTTTCTGCACTCGGAGTGACAGAGTGGGGATTCAGCCTTGACACTCCTGTTCAGGTAGTTGAAGGCTGCTATCAAATCCACCCTTACTTTTCTGCAGACTAAACAAGCCCAGTTCCCTCAGCCTCTCCTTGTAAGTCGTGTGCCCCAGCCCTTTGATCATTTTCATTGTCCTCCGTTGGACTCTCTCTAATTTGTCCACATCCTTTCTGTAGTGGGGGGCCAAAACTGGAGTAGAGACATGTTGTTACCAACGTTACTTTGGGGTATGCTCATTTATTAGGATTACTCTTCTGGGGGCAAGGGGGGTGTCAGTGTATCATCATCATCAGTGTATCTATCAGTGTATTGCTTGTGTCACTTGTGTTCTCATATGGAGCTCTACTTCTCCCTGCTGCAAGTTCCCTCCCAATGGACCTATCCTGCAGGACCTAGGTTCCCCAGTGCTGGGTTCTTCCAGCCCCAGAATCAGACGAACACACACACATTAACAGAGCACATCCAAGAGGACCGGGTTACCTCCCAAGCTGACCCCTTATATGTCCCTGGACTCAGTAGGCTGGGTCGAGCACCATTTTCAAGCTGTCACCCTCATAGGCCCTTGGATTCAGTTGGCTGGATCGAACAGCACCTCCAAGCTGTCACCCTCCTATGCCATAGGCACCGCACTGGAATAGAGCACGTGTGAGCAGGCTGAGTCGAGCAGCACTTTCAACCTGCCACCCTCAACTGCCCCTGGATTCAGCAGACTGGATCAAGCAGCACTTCCAAGCTCCCACCTTCATATGTCCCAGGTTCAGCACATCCCTATCCCCACTTTCACGTTACACTTGTTCTGGTAGTAACCCATTTGATGAGCAAACCCCACAGGATTTTTGGGCACTGCAGTGATCTTTTAGCTTAGGTACGAAGGGTGTTGCTGCAGAATGAATGAGGAAACCAAAAAACACCCAATAGGGGGAGAGAGAGAGAAGCAACCAGCTTAATCATGAAAGTTATTTATTGCCAGGTAATAACCATAGGGGAGCCAAACAAACAAAAGAGTTATAATATTAAATCTAACTTAAATTTGATTATAAAAGTCAGGTTTAGAAAATGATAACTAATCACACAAGTCAGGGTCAGAAGGCTATACCTAGACCGAGAGAGAGAGAAAGAGAGAGATGGGTTCTCAGCACTCCGTGAAGCTTGAATCGATCAGGGGTCCCAGAAGGTGGTGGTAGTTGAGGGTCTGGAGTACTGGAGATAGGCAGAGGCCCCAGCACGATCAGTCAGGAGACGGTGAAGTCCCAACGGAACTGATTCAGATTTTGGATCCAGGCATCAGAATGCTTACTTGGGCATGGGTGGGTTTTTGTAGAGAAACAACAATGGTTCAAGGGAGAACTCTAGATTTATGTGTAAACTGATGGCTCAAGGGAGTATACCAAAGTTGTTTTGTTAAGGCTATACAACGGGAGCTGATCATTCCTGGCTATGGGTAATGGTCCTTGGAGGGAGCTCACAATGCAATTAGGGAGCTTCACTATTTTGGATACCAATAAAGGATTTATTACTAGAATTAGTCTGATAACTACTGAGCCGAGTGTGTGCAGGCGTGGGTTCATTAACATCTGGAGCAGAGATCCCCTGTCATGCAGTGTTTCTCTGCTTTTCTGGTCCCAGAGTTCCCTGTGGTTCTTGCCTTGGAATCTCTGTTCTCCATTCTATATGCTAATGGAGATGCCTCCTTGTCCTATCTTCAATGTAAATGAGGCGAGGGGAGTTTCCTTAATCCTGTCACCCTTATCACAGGGGCTTAGGTGTGTCCCACACTGCTTTTTCATTGCTTTTTGGAAATCTTTCTTCTGATTGGTTTTGGTTCAAGCACATGGGGGGCAACGAAGGAAAGGTCTTTCGTGAGTCAGACAGGCTGGGTACTGCGCCCTGGTTCCCCAAGAACACACAACTGCCAGGTAACAATGTTGAGCCCAATTTTCTAAACAGTACATGGACAATTACCTGTGAAAAAATGTACAATTTCAATGCACATTTAGCAAACCAAGTGACTGTCTTTAGGCATATACATGACTGGCTGTTCGGGTGTGTAAGTATTCAGTGTGCATCCACCACCCTGGTAACTGAACATGAGCAGACAACTTGTAGTTTTTTTTAAAAAATCATGGTCTTAAGAGCCATTGATGCATCTATGAAAACATTCTCAATGCATTATTTTATATGAAAATTACTTTAAAAAATGTAGTGAATACAAATTGTACAATTACATAAATTGTTAGGTGCATCTTTACTTGTAAGTATATGAACATTTGTGTCTGTAATAAAGGTATGAAAGCTACATGGGTTCATTGTTCATATATGCTTTTGCAGTCTCAAACCAAATCTTCTCTACAGCTTCTTGGCCCATGTCAAACATTCTTAATAAGTGCTTCCATCCAGTTTTTGCTGTGATCATTAGGTATTCTTTGTTCTCAGGATACAAGAGGGAAGTGTATGAGGCTATTACAAGTGACTGAGAAAATCTACCACTCACCAAGAGAAACAGGGCGTCTCTCTCCTCTGTTGTCAATGGTACAATGCTTTCAAACCCTGCAAGAATATGCCCTCCCACACTGAGAGGATCCTTGCTCTCAATCATCATGTACATGATAGTTATTGCTAATTCAAATACATAGTAACCATAGCTCATGTCACTAAAGTCCAAAATACCGGACACTCTATATTGTGGATTCTCTGGTGAAGCAGTGTTGGAATCTAATAAGATATTATGATCATTAAGGTCCCCATGATTGATACCTAAATGCAGAAAAAATGAAAACAGTATTATGAATAAATAATAAACAGAAGAAACTTTCCTCTGGCTTTTTTCATTCTCTTCAGAAAATCACACTGAAAATATGCACTTGATTTCCTCATCATATGTGAATACTCAGAGTGTAAACGGACACATACACTGATCTATCTCAGAACTAAGGCATGATAATATTCCTATAAGCCATCATGCCTTGCCAGGTCTCACTGCTTCCTCATAAGAACCTTAGCTTCATTAATCCTATATAATAGCTGACTAGATGGCAACTGGCAATGGGATTGGGATAATTTATTATTTAGCTTGTTGTAATACCCACAATATGCTAAGTGCATTCCAAATGCAAGAGATTGCACAGAGAGCTTCAAAGACATTGCTATCTGATAGCAGTCTGGTGGCCTATATTAAACGAGTTAGTATTCTCTTCCTTATTTCTACCATTTGGTGTCTACATAATGAAAACCTACATCGTAGGTGGCAGTCTCAGCAGAGTGAGGGCTCGTCTACACTGGCAATGTAAAAGCGCTGCCATCTTTGGTCTTTAACACTGGCAGTGTTAAAGAAGTGGTTCGGGACTATTTAGAAAAGCTGAACGAGCACAAGTCCATGGGGCTGGATGCACTGCATCTGAGAGTGCTAAAGAAATTGGTGGATGTGATTGTAGAGCCATTGGCCATTATCTTTGAAAATTCATGGTGATCGGGGGAGGTCCCGGACGACTGGAAAAAGGCTAACATAGTGCCCATCTTTAAAAAAGGGAAGAAGGAGGATCTGGGGAACTACAGGCCAGTCAGCCTCACCTCAGTCCCTGGAAAAATCATGGAGCAGGTCCTCAAGGAATCAATTCTGAAGTACTTGAAGGAGAGGAAAGTGATCAGGAACAGTTAGCATGGATTCACCAAGGGCAAGTCATGCCTGACTGATCTAATTGCCTTCTATGATGAGATAACTGGCTCTGTGGATGAGGGGAAAGCAGTGGACGTGTTATTCCTTGACTTTAGCAAAGCTTTTGATACGGTCTCCCATACTATTCTTGCCAGCAAGTTGAAGAAGTATGGGCTGGATGAATGGACTATAAGGTGGATAGAAAGCTGGCTAGATCGTCCGGCTCAACAGGTAGTGATCAATGGTTCCATGTCTAGTTCACAGCCGGTATCAAGCGGAGTGCCCCAAGGGTCGGCCCTAGGGCCGGTTTTGTTCAATATCTTCATTAATGATCTGGAGGATGGCGTGGATTGCACCCTCAGCAAGTTTACAGATGACACTAAACTGGGAGGAGAGTTAAATATGCTGGAGGATAGGGATGGGATACAGAGGCCCCTAGACAAATTAGAGGATTGGGCCAAAAGAAATCTGATGAGGTTCAACAAGGACAAGTGCAGAGTCCTGCACTTAGGACAGAAGAATCCCATGCACCGCTACAGACTAGGGACCGAATGGCTAGGCATCAGTTCTGCAGAAAAGGACCTAGGGGTTACAGTGGACAAGAAGCTGGATATGAGTCAACAGTGTGCCCTTGTTGCCAAAAAGGCTAACGGCATTTTGGGCTGTATATTTAGGGGCATTGTCAGCAGATCGAGGGACGAGATCATTCCCCTCTACTGGATACTGGTGAGGCCTCATCTGGAGTACTGTGTTCAGTTTTGGGCCCCACACTACAAGAAGGATGTGAATAAAATTGGAAAGCATACAGCGGAGGGCAACAAAAATGATTAGAGGACGGGAACACATGACTTATGAGGAGAGGCTGAGGGAACTGTGATTGTTTAGTCTGCGGAAGAGAAGAATATGGGGGGATTTGATAGCTGCTTTCAACTACCTGAAAGGGGGTTCCAAAGAGGATGGATCTAGACTGTTCTCTGTGGTAGCAGATGACAGAACAAGAAGTAATGGTCTCCAGTTGCATTGGGGGAGGTTTAGGTTGGATATTAGGAAAACCTTTTTCACTAGGAGCGTGGTGAAGCACTGGAATGTGTTACCTAGGGAGATGGTGGAATCGCCTTCCTTTGAGATTTTTAAGGTCAGGCTTGACAAAGCCCTGGCTGGGATGATTTAGTTGGGGTTGGTCCTGCTTTGAGCAGGGAGTTGGACTAGATGACCTCCTGAGGTCCCTTCCAACCCTGATATTCTATGATTTAACATGGCTTGTGTAGTCATGGCACAGCGAGCTCTCCCAGTGGTCTTAAAAAAAAATTACCTCCACAAGGGGTGTAGCTACTAGCGTTGTCTAAACTGGCACGTTATAGTGCTGCAACTTGCAGTGCTCAGGGTTTTTTTTTCACACCCCTGAGTGAGAAAGTTGTAGCACGGTAAAGTGCCAGTGTAGACAAGCCCTGACACTGAACTCCTCTTTCATTCTTTGAGATGATTCCCTCCCAGTCCTGTTTCTGAGGCATGCTCATGGTGCATTGTGGGGAAATTTGTACATGTCCTGTGGATAAAGTAAATAATTTCTGCCTACAGTGCCTTGAATCAGCCACCTCTTACAAGGACTCACATTCCCTTTTAAAAATTTATTAGATCACATTACACTATAATTGTATTAAAAATACTCACAGGCTCGAAAATTCCTTAGCTTGGGTACTATTTTATCTTTGAACTGCTGAATAAGTTGCTCCACAACTTCACGATAACTGTTCTGGCCCAAGGCATGAATATACTGCTCTAGAAGAGGAACATTTGCCAAGTTCCAAATGAACTTCCCTCGATGCAGACTTTTTATTGATGGATGATGGAATTTCTTAAGAAAAACACAAGAAAGAAAAAAAAGACTGTATACAACAGCTCTGCTACAATGAAGACGTGGCCTGATCCAATGCTCAGTGAAGTCAGTTGGAATGCATTGACTTTAATGGGCTTTGGATCAAGTCCATAGAGACGGGGCTTTGCTTTGACAGTCATTTCATACCATGTGAAACCTTGTGATTGTCTGAAATTAAAACCTCATTCAAGCTGATGTGTGAAAATCCTTCCCTTAAGACAGTTGTAAGAAACACTTAAGGGCCACACCTAAAAACAAGGCCTAATATAATCTCTCCAGAAACTAACACTATGTAGGTGAGAGGTTCTGCACCCATTGTGACTCTGGGTATGTCTACACTACGGAATAAGGTCGAATTTATAGAAGTCGGTTTTTTAGAAATCGGTTTTATATATTCGAGTGTGTGTGTCCCCACAGAAAATTCTCTAAGTGCATTAACTCGGCGGAGCGCTTCCACAGTACCGAGGCTAGAGTCGACTTCCGGAGTGTTGCACTGTGGGTAGCTATCCCACAGTTCCCGCAGTCTCCGCTGCCCATTGGAATTCTGGGTTGAGATCCCAATGCCTGATGGGGCTAAAACATTGTCGCGGGTGGTTCTGGGTACATATCGTCAGGCCCCCGTTCCCTCCCTCCCTCCGTGAAAGCAAGGGCAGACAATCGTTTCGCGCCTTTTTTCCTGAGTTACCTGTGCAGACGCCATACCACGGCAAGCATGGAGCCCGCTCAGGTAACCGTCACCCTATGACTCCTGGGTGCTGGCAGACGTGGTACGGCATTGCTACACAGTAGCAGCAACCCCTTGCCTTGTGGCAGCAGACGGTACAGTATGACTGGTAGCCGTCATCGTCATGTCCGAGGTGCTCCTGGCCACGTCGGCCGGGAGCGCCTGGACAGACATGGGCGCAGGGACTAAATTTGGAGTGACTTGACCAGGTCATTCTCTTTAGTCCTGCAGTCAGTCCTATTGAACCGTCTTATGGTGAGCGGGCAGGCGATACGGACTGCTAGCAGTCGTACTGTACCATCTTCTGCCAGGCAGGCAAGAGATGAGGATGGCTAGCAGTCGTACTGTACCATCTTCTGCCGAGCAGCCATGAGATGTGGATGGCATGCAGTCCTTCTGCACCGTCTGCTGCCAGCCAAAGATGTAAAAGATAGATGGAGTGGGTCAAAACAAGAAATAGACCAGATTTGTTTTGTACTCATTTGCCTCCTCCCCTGTCTAGGGGACTCATTCCTCTAGGTCACACTGCAGTCACTCACAGAGAAGGTGCAGCGAGGTAAATCTAGCCATGTATCAATCAGAGGCCAGGCTAACCTCCTTGTTCCAATAAGAACGATAACTTAGGTGCACCATTTCTTATTGGAACCCTCTGTGAAGTCCTGCCTGAAATACTCCTTGATGTAAAGACACCCCCTTTGTTGATTTTAGCTCCCTGAAGCCAACCCTGTAAGCCGTGTCGTCAGTCGCCCCTCCCTCCGTCGGAGCAACGGCAGACAATCGTTCCGCGCCTTTTTTCTGTGCGGACGCCATACCAAGGCAAGCATGGAGGCCGCTCAGCTCACTTTGGCAATTAGGAGCACATTAAACACCACACGCATTATCCAGCAGTATATGCAGCACCGGAACGTGGCAAAGCGATACCGGGCGAGGAGGCGACGTCAGCGCGGTCACGTGAGTGATCAGGACATGGACACAGATTTCTCTGAAAGCATGAGCCCTGCCAATGCATGCATCATGGTGCTAATGGGGCAGGTTCATGCTGTGGAACGCCGATTCTGGGCTCGGGAAACAAGCACAGACTGGTGGGACTGCATAGCGTTGCAGGTCTGGGACGATTCCCAGTGGCTGCGAAACTTTCGCATGCGTAAGGGCACTTTCATGGAACTTTGTGACTTGCTTTCCCCTGCCCTGAGGCGCATGAATACCAAGATGAGAGCAGCCCTCACAGTTGAGAAGCGAGTGGCGATAGCCCTGTGGAAGCTTGCAACGCCAGACAGCTACCGGTCAGTTGGGAATCAATTTGGAGTGGGCAAATCTACTGTGGGGGCTGCTGTGATGCAAGTAGCCCACGCAATCAAAGATCTGCTGATATCAAGGGTAGTGACCCTGGGAAATGTGCAGGTCATAGTGGATGGCTTTGCTGCAATGGGATTCCCTAACTGTGATGGGGCCATAGACGGAACCCATATCCCTATCTTGGCACCGGAGCACCAAGCCGCCGAGTACATAAACCGCAAGGGGTACTTTTCGATAGTGCTGCAAGCTCTGGTGGATCACAAGGGACGTTTCACCAACATCAACGTGGGATGGCCGGGAAAGGTGCATGATGCTCGCATCTTCAGGAACTCTGGTCTGTTTCAAAAGCTGCAGGAAGGGACTTTATTCCCAGACCAGAAAATAACTGTTGGGGATGTTGAAATGCCTATATGTATCCTTGGGGACCCAGCCTACCCCTTAATGCCATGGCTCATGAAGCCATACACAGGCAGCCTGGACAGTGGTCAGGAGCTGTTCAACTACAGGCTGAGCAAGTGCAGAATGGTGGTAGAATGTGCATTTGGACGTTTAAAGGCGCGCTGGCGCAGTTTACTGACTCGCTTAGACCTCAGCGAAACCAATATTCCCACTGTTATTACTGCTTGCTGTGTGCTCCACAATATCTGTGAGAGTAAGGGGGAGACGTTTATGGCGGGGTGGGAGGTTGAGGCAAATCGCCTGGCTGCTGGTTACGCGCAGCCAGACACCAGGGCGGTTAGAAGAGCACAGGAGGGCGCGGTACGCATCAGAGAAGCTTTGAAAAACAGTTTCATGACTGGCCAGGCTACGGTGTGAAAGTTCTGTTTGTTTCTCCTTGATGAAACCCCCCGCCCCTTGGTTCACTCTACTTCCCTGTAAGCTAACCACCCGCCCCTCCTCCCTTCAATCACCACTTGCAGAGGCAATAAAGTCATTGTTGCTTCACATTCATGCATTCGTTATTCATTCATCACACAAATAGGGGGATGACTACCAAGGTATCCCAGGAGGAGTGGTGGAGGAGGGAAGGAAAATGCCACACAGCACTTTAAGCACAGCACTTTAAAAGTTTACAACTTTAAAATTTATTGAATGACAGCCTTCTTTTTTTTGGGCAATCCTCTGTGGTGGAGTGGCTGGTTGGCCGGAGGCCCCCCCACCGCGTTCTTGGGCGTCTGGGTGTGGAGGCTATGGAACTTGGGGAGGAGGGCGGTTGGTTACAGAGGGGCTGCAGTGGCAGTCTGTGCTCCAGCTGCCTTTGCTGCAGCTCAACCATACACTGGAGCATACTGGTTTGGTCCTGCAGCAGCCTCAGCATTGAATCCTGCCTCCTCTCATCACGCTGCCGCCACCTTTGAGCTTCAGCCCTGTCTTCAGCCCGCCACTTACTCTCTTCGGCCCGCCACTTACTCTCTTCAGCCCTCCACCTCTCCTCCCGGTCATTTTGTGCTTTCCTGCACTCTGACATTATTTGCCTCCACGCATTCGTCTGTGCTCTGTCAGTGTGGGAGGACAGCATGAGCTCGGAGAACATTTCATCGCGAGTGCGTTTTTTTTTCTTTCTAAGCTTCACTAGCCTCTGGGAAGGAGAAGATCCTGTGATCATTGAAACACATGCAGCTGGTGGAGAAAAAAAAAGGGACAGCGGTATTTAAAAAGACACATTTTATAAAACAGTGGCTACACTCTTTCAGGGTAAACCTTGCTGTTAACATTACATACATAGCACATGTGCTTTCGTTACAAGGTCGCATTTTGCCTCCCCCCACCGCATGACTACCCCCTCAACCTTCCCCCCTCCCTGTGGCTAACAGCGGGGAACATTTCTGTTTAGCCACAGGCAAACAGCCCAGCAGGAATGGGCTCCTCTGAGTGTCCCCTGAAGAAAAGCACTCTATTTCAACCAGGTGACCATGAATTATATCTCACTCTCCTGAGGATAACACAGAGAGATAAAGAACGGATGTTGTTTGAATGCCAGCAAACATACACTGCAATGCTTTGTTCTACAATGATTCCCGAGTACATGTTACTGGCCTGGAGTGGTAAAGTGTCCTACAATGAAGGACGCAATAAGGCTGCCCTCCCCAGAAACCTTTTGCAAAGGCTTTAGGACTACATCTAGGAGAACCGCGAATGCCAGGGCAAAGTAATCCTTTCACATGCTTGCTTTTAAACCATGTATAGTATTTTAAAAGGTACACTCACCAGAGGTCCCTTCTCTGCCTGCTGGGTCCAGGAGGCAGCCTTGGGTGGGTTCGGGGGGTACTGGCTCCAGGTCCAGGGTGAGAAACAGTTCCTGGCTGTCGGGAAAACCGGTTTCTCCGCTTGCTTGTTGTGAGCTATCTACAACCTCCTCCTCATCATCATCTTCTTCGTCCCCAAAACCTGCTTCCGTATTGCCTCCATCTCCATTGAAGGAGTCAAACAACACGGCTGGGGTAGTGGTGGCTGAACCCCCTAAAATGGCATGCAGCTCATCATAGAAGCGGCATGTTTGGGGCTCTGACCCAGAGCGGCTGTTCGCCTCTCTGGTTTTCTGGTAGGCTTGCCTCAGCTCCTTCAGTTTCACGCGGCACTGCTTCAGGTCCCTGTTATGGCCTCTGTCCTTCATGCCCTGGGAGATTTTCACAAAGGTTTTGGCATTTCGAAAACTGGAACGGAGTTCTGATAGCACGGATTCCTTTCCCCAAACAGCGATCAGATCCCGTACCTCCCGTTCGGTCCATGCTGGAGCTCTTTTGCGATTCTGGGACTCCATCATGGTCACCTGTGCTGATGAGCTCTGCATGGTCACCTGCAGCTTGCCACGCTGGCCAAACAGGAAATGAGATTCAAAAGTTCGAGGTTCTTTTCCTGTCTACCTGGCCAGTGCATCTGAGTTGAGAGTGCTGTCCAGAGCGGTCACAATGGAGCACTCTGGGATAGCTCCCAGAGGCCAATACCATCGAATTGTGTCCACAGTACCCCAAATTCGAGCCGGCAACATCGATTTAAGCGCTAATCCACTTGTCAGGGGTGGAGTAAGGAAACCGATTTTAAGAGCCCTTTAAGTCGAAATAAAGGGCTTCATTGTGTGGACGGGTGCAGGTTTACATCAATTTAACGCTGCTAAATTCGACCTAAAGTCCTAGTGTAGACCAGGGCTCTGTGTGTGTGTGTGTGTGCGCACGCATTAGAGAGAGAAGCAGAGAACACAGAAACTGAGGACAGACAAGAACAGAGAGAGGGACAGAGGCAAAAAGCAAAAAAGCCGAGCAGTAGCATCTGAGCACAGTGTCAAAAAAAAAGCTAGAGAGAAGGCTTTTGGCTAAAGAGGCTTGGGCAGTAAGCTAAGAAACTGCTCCTTTTGCTTTTGGTTCCTCCTGCATTTGGAGAAGCAGGACTTGGTACATTCCTTGTAAATATACAAGATTGCATCAAAGAAAATACCAGACTCCATCAATTTCTACTTTCACCAGGAACATCCCCAGCACCCCAAAATTTGCTTAGCAGCTCAGGGAAACAATACCAGCGGTGTCCTGGAAGATGGTTAGTTTCAGTACATTGATATCCACCCACATCTTTTAGTAAGAAAGATTAATTTAAGCAATTCATCATTCTTTAAAATATTATAGAAGTGCTAGTGATGATAATATCTTCCATACATGTAGAAACTTTAATCCGTAAGAATTCCACAGTGCTTCTCAAATTGCATACATCCAATAACACTTCTTGGGCACAACAAGCTTTACATACAACTGCTGCCAAAGTGTAAAAGAGACAGAACCTGAAGGTACTTGCCAAAAGTGGATACAATCTGACCATTTAAATGTAGCCACTTCTGCCCCAGTGAGTGGGGGCTAGATGATGACTGGCAGTAGCCACTGAGGCAAGGTGGGTTTAGAGGGTTGGGGGTTCCCCTGGGAGGGGAGACCCAGAGTGTGGGAGGTACTGCTGGGGCAGAACCCTGAGGTAAAGGGGCACTGGGGTCCAGGAGGGATATGGGGGCCAGCAGCAGGTGAGACATGGGCCTGCAGAGGGTGCTCTGGACTGGAAAGAGCTAATTTCCAAGATGACCAGCAGGAGGCACCAAATTGGTGAAGCGTCACCTCACTACAAAGTGCCTTTCTTAACTTTTGCCACTCTCTTATATTGGCACAATCTTCGTGGGGTGGCTTGGCTAAACTGGCTTTAGGGGCAGATTCTGCCAGTGGTGCAGTGCAAAAGCATGCTGCAGTGGCAAATCTAGCCCCAGGTTGGTTTGGTATAGTTGATTTGGTTTGGGACAGCTGAAAACAGAAGTATGGATGAAAATCAGATATGATAATGAACAGGATATTGCCTCAACTAAAACTTGATTACATACTACTATAGTACTTACATACTACTCTGCAGTAAGATGCACTGCACTAGTAAGAACAATGCCACTTGGTGATCAAACATTGCAATTTTAACCTTCTATAACAGGCAATGTCCTCTGTTCAGGAGAGAGGGACACCATCAATATGAAACCTAATCAGTTTTAAAATACAAGTTACACATTACTCAGGTTCCTATAACTTCCTATGAGTATCACCTGCTAATGTTTATGGTTTTACAATAACATGTTGCTATTTTAAATATTTCTCTCCCCTGTGGCTCTGTAAGAGCCACACAGGCAAACGGAGAATCTAATGGGGAAACAGTGAAACTTACTATACACAAAGTGCTGTCAAGTGTACAAGGAAACTAATTGGGGGGAAAAAAGGGAATTATTTTTCTCTATCATCTGTCAGCTAAAGTAATCTTAGATTTTGTGAGTCTCTTGAGTGACAAGAAGAAAGTTATACAAATTTCCTTTAGTTAAAAGGAATAACTGAAGTTATATGGGGCATATGGATTTTTCCCCATTCTCCATTAAAATTAATCCTCTACTTCTCTCTTCAGATAATGTAACATTCATATTCTGAGAGCAGCTTGTCTATTTAAATGGTTTCAACCATACTGCATTTTAACACCATGGACTCTGGTAACACTAAATTACCTTTCCCACACTGATAAATGCTCTTAACATTTAAAAACATGGGCAGTAACACTAGCACAATTGAGGAGTACAATTATCTGAAGTCTGTAGCACAGAAAATGAGAAACAGAGGTTAATGAAAAGTACTACACAATGCAAAGTTCTTTTATGTAACAAACTTGATTACTAGCTGATTTATTGGACTTTGTTGCTTCATCTAATCAAAGATGAAAGGCAGACCTTACTTTGCATTCCATGCTGTTTAAAAGGTATTTAACTGGAAGCAGCACATTGAGGGAATTGTCATAAATGTCTCCATATTAAGCCCCACTGTTCTGTTACAAGTGTACCAATCTGTACCAGTGTTAACTGGTCATGGTTCAAATGGTTACTAGAAAAAGAGTCAGGTCAAAATGAATTTTCAAAAAATTTAGCCAGCTGAGCCTCTGGGATGTTTACTTCACATAATAAATAAATAATAATACTACCTTGTCCTTCTTTAGCACCTTCCCTGTGAGGATCTCAAAGCACAGTATGAATATTAATGAAATCAGCCTCAAAACACCCATTAGTAGGTAATAGTATTTCCATTTTGCAGATGAGCCACACAGAAGTTAAGGTCAAGCAGCAATTCTATTATGGAGAACAGTCTATTAATAGAAGAAGCTCTTCCTACAGGAAGGGTTATGCTAATTATGGGCATGGCAAAAGACCCCATGGCTGGACTCTGAAGACAATCAGTGGGAGGCTCTCACTAATAGAGGAAGGAGCTGCAGACAGTCACAGTAGGTTGATTCTGTCCAATTTTCCTTAGGGGGGTGTGTGTGTGTATCTCGCTCTCTCTCTCTCTATATATATATATATATGCATCTAAATCTACCTATCTTAGGTACTTTTATGGCTCCTGTAATGAGTATCTGAGAACCTCACCATCTTTAATATATTTAATCCTTATAAAACCTTTGTGAGGTAAGGAAGTACTATTACCCTCATCTTGCGGATGGGGAACAGAGGCAGAGAGAGAATAAAAGTGGCTTGCTCAAAGTCACACAGGAAGTCTGTGCCAGAGCGAGGAACTGAACTCGGGTCTCCTGGTGTCCTATTCACTGCACCATCCTTCCTCTCTAACAATATTGTCCTGTTTGTTAGCTTTATTTACTCACAAAAAGAACATGCCTCTGTTCCGATGTCTTCAGAAACCATCTCTCAAATCATCTCTCATGCACTGGGCAGCTCCTGATATAGTTGTAATAATAAGTGAAAGTAATTTTCAGGCTGCAAGTGTACATAGTCCCAGCCACTAGCTGCTAAAATCCCTAAGGATGGCTGGCTCATGAGCTGCAAAGTTTGGACTTAGATCTAAACTCTCACAAAGTCCAGAGGCATTTAGATCAGAGTTTTTATCTGCCCTATCTGAAAAAGGCCCAGGACAACCGGGGGGCACACTGGGTCTGAAAGCTTTTTGGCCTCCAAAGCTGCAAAGAACTCCATAGAACAGTGCACTAATCATCAGCGGACATACTCAATTTAAAAGGCATTTTAAAGAATAAGGGGGATTCCCTTTTGTTCTTATTGCCAGCTGTAGTTATGGTTAATGATTCTTTGGTGTCGTTAAGGGGAATTGGACAAAGTCATAAGTAGGAAGGTGTGTTGCTGAAGAAATGTATAGACTCCATCATGCTGGCATGTGGCCAGTTAGGGTACATCTATGTCACAATCGGGAGGTCTGACTGCAGTTCATGTAGACATACCTAAGCTAGCAGAGCCGGCGCTAGGCATAAGCAGACTAAGCGATTGCTTAGAGCCCCGAGCAGCTCAAGGAGGGCTCCCTCTTTGCTTTTTATTATCTGTTATCTGTGGGGGTCCCCCATAATATTCCTGCTTAGGGACCCCAATGGGGCAGCACTGCCTCTGCAAGCTAGCTTTGATTCACCTAGCTTGCTAAAAAAGGCAGTGAAATCGCAGGGTGGAGACACGCTTGGGTCTGCCTACATGTGCAGCTATCACACCTCCTGATTGTAGTGCAGACACACCTTCACATTCACACTCATAATCTGACCCACCAGTCTGGGCTCGCTGCCAGGGGGAATCATTTAACAATAACGGTCATATTTGAGAATTCTCGTAGGTATTTTTCAGCTGAAAGCCAAATTAAATTGACGAACAGGAGCAAAGTAAGGATGTTCTCATTAGCTGGCCATAAGTGATTTTGCCTGAACATCTCTCCACTGGGAGGAAAGAAGAGAAGGAACAATTTTTAGTTTAAGTGAAGGAGAGGAGGTTAAGGGGGTGGAGAAGGAAAGGGAAGTTTATTTGGAGGTGAAGTGAATTTTTCATGCGGTGTCGCAAAATGACTGCTCCCTGAGCCGCTGTGTCACACATTAGACATGAATCACTCCTACCTAATCCCCTCTCCACTGCTAATTCAGGATATATCAAAATTGAAAATAGCTGAGCTGCTGGAATCATATTAAAGAGCAGACACCATCACTTTTGTTCTGTTCAGCACTTTGAAAATTCAAAGAGAAAAATGCCCCTCACTCTGAATACACAGTGAAATGTGCTTCAAAATACAGTGACTCCCTGTCATAAAAGTACATCTAAAACTGGGAATGCACACATGTCCTTTAAACCATCAACAAAGTTACAGAACGTAGCCAGAGGGAGAAGGCAAATAACTATAAGTAAGAAAGTGTAGTTGCAGCCGTGTCAGTCCTAGGATATTAGTGAGTCAAAGTGGGTGAGGTAATGGCTTTTATTGGACCAACTTCTGTGAATAGGGCTAAGAAGAGCTCTGTGTGGATCGAAAGCTAGTCTCTCTCACTAACAGAAGCTGGTCTAATAAACAATATTACCTCACCCATCTTGTGTCTCTATAAGTAAGAAAGACACATAGGACAAGATTCTGAGGCACAGCCTAATATGTGCAGCCCATGCAGTAGGGGTCTATGGTAGCTTTAAGCCACCTTTGTATCCTCTGTCCTGTTCCTGGATTGCCCCAGGAGTTGTAGAGGCCCTGGAATAAGGCAGACAGCAGTTCCCTGTAGGATGCAGCATTGCCCAGAGTCTCCACACTACTGCATTCTGAAGCACCCCCCCCACCATACTACATGCCAGGGCTTGCAAGGGGGTCTCACAAGCAGCCTTCGCACTGCCTGCAGCAGTGATTTTGCGAGGGGAATAATCCCCTAGCCAGAATTCAGGCTTTTAGGACCCATTAATGGTGCTCTGGCCCTTTAACTGTATGTAAAGGGGCCAGAATGGAGGGGAGAATCTCACTTGTATTGTTTGTGTGCATCGTTATGAAGTCTTCTGCATTTCTATATTGCCTTCCATTCAAGGATCCCAAAGAACTTTACACACATTTATATATTCAGCTTCAGAGGTCTTGTGTGCAACATGTAAGAAAGAAGCATTCTCTCCATTTTACTGAGAGGGTCAGGGAAGTGAAGTAACTTGACCAAGATCACAGTAAGTCTGTGGCAGAGCTGGGAATAGAACCCCAATCTTTAGACTCCCAGTTGTGTGCTTTAACCACAAGAGCATCGCACCTCCCCTAATGTATACAGTAAAATAATGGGCAGACATGCTCTTAAACAGTAAAGCCACAGGTGGGCTTGGGGACCTTGTCTAACATCATCCACTATTATGTTCGCTGAGAAACATGGCTGAAGGCCAAGGACATTCAATCTTGCATTTGAGATCCATTCAACACAGGACTGGGGGAAGCTAGATACAACTCCCCTGTTCTCTGGGCTGGTCTGCACTGCGTCAGTTCTGGCATAAAACAGAGCAGCCATAGGAACCACAAGCTATTTGAGAAAAAAGAAAAGGAGTACTTGTGGCACCTTAGAGACTAACCAATTTATTTGAGCATAAGCTTTCGCGAGCTACAGCTCCCTTCATCGGATGCATACTGTGGAAAATACAGAAGATGTTTGCTTTTATACACACAAATCATGAAAAAATGGGTGTTTATCACTACAAAAGGTTTTCTCTCCCCCCACCCCACTCTCCTGCTGGTAATAGCTTTTGTAAAATGATCACTCTCCTTACAATGTGTATGATAATCAAGGTGGGCCATTTCCAGCACAAATCCAGCAGCTGGCAGAGGAGACAGTTCAGTCAGAGCAGGAGGGATCCATGTTCTAACCCTGGCTCACTGAGGCATTCCAGTTGGTCACGATATGCAACATAGTGACAAACGTGGAGTCCTAAGTGACCACAGATTTGTAGTACTTAACAAAGTGGTTGTGTTCTCCTTTCAAACCTCGAAAGAATAAGGGAAGCCATGGCTAGGGCATAGTTACGTACTACAGAGCCACACAGAAGAGCACTGTCGTGTGTTGAGCACTCTATGTCTACAGTGTTCAGGCTGTGTTTGCAGGTAGCTCTGAAACTGCAGGAATGTCTCTGATGTTACTGTGAGATGCCACTAGTTATACGTGTTATGAAATGTATAAAATACTACGAATCACTCCCACTTGCATGCTGAGAACAAAAAGTCCTACCTCTGTGAGAGTTTTATCCAATCTGGCAGCTAGTTTCCCAATCTCGTATAAAATGTGAGGATTTGTAGAGATTGTTGCCACCATCATGCCTGGGAGGTAGGTCAGCAGTCTCACCATGTACTTTTTTGTCACAGAGCCAGTACCTAATAGGCAAAGAGATACACTGTGAATCATTTCAATACACTCCATTAAAGGTCATTGTGTTTAAGGATAAGGAGGTTTCTCCCATCATAAAAGAAATCAAACTCAGATCATAAAAAAGACAATTCAAAGAACAGATTTACTAGATGACATTAGGAAAGGCCAACGCTCAGCACATATGGAGTGTAAGTGCAACTCCTTGCCTTTACGTAGGAGAGCGACACACCTTGGGAAGGTTCCCCTTTCATGTGCACAAAGGGCCTGATCCAACACCAATGGCAGTCTTTGCATTGATTGCAGTGGGCCTAAAGAGAACCTAAAATAATAGGTTTCTTTATCAGAGTGATGAGTCTCAATGGCCCTGGTTATCCTATTGAAATTACAGTGTTGAGGAAACCAGGTTCAACACAGTATTCTCCCACCATGCATGTTCTTGCATTGTAGATGGGTCTGAACTGCGTTTGAAACTACATCCCCAAACCATGGAGCTGGGGAAATAATTTGTAATAAGATTTATTTAATGAAGTTTGCCTTTTTTTGTTTGTGATTTGCCTGCAAGCAGATCAGCGTTTTCTCACATCTATTAATTTGAATGTATTTTCTGAATAATTTTTATGGCTAAGTCTTTTTCTGTTCTGTTTCTATTTGTGAGCAGTTTGATGCATTCACGATTTGAAGTTCAAGCTATTTTGACTTGTCACATAGTTCAGATGGCATGTTTCTGTTCCCTTAATGGACGAGTAAGTCTGTGGCAAAGCTGGGAATAGAACCCCAATCTTTAAAATCCTAGTTGTGTGCTTTAACCACAAGAGCATCACACCTCCCCTAATGTATAAGGTAAAATAATGGGCAGACATGCTCTTAAACAGTAAAGCCATGTGTGGGGTTGGGGGCCCATAGGCTTAATTTTCTGGTATGAATACTCATGATTCTGAATTCCAAATTCCTTGTTGGTGATTCTTTCACTGCAGTTATTTGCTAAAATTTGCTGTTTCTACAAACAGTCCTGCCAGAAATACATTAGAACATTTGCAGAAAGCAAATACAAAAATGGCCATGACATGGTCAAAACAAGTTAACTGAAAAATTAGAATTAATATGTGCAGAAAGTCCTTTGGAGAATTCACAGTTCTCTGATGAACCATGCCATGACCCTGTGTGACAAGGCATCATTCCACTCCTGTCTTTTTTCTAGACAAACTGCTCAGAGACAGTGATGCTGGAACAATTTTTATTGTGGGGGTGCTGAAGATGGAAAGCATGTATTTGGGTTGTTATTACTACTTTAAGCCAGGGGGTGCAGCAGCATCCCCTGAACCCCTAGTTCCAGCACCTATGCTCAGAGACCTTCTTCTGGTCAAATACCTTGTGCCATCTATTTACTGCATTCTCCCCACCATCTTTACAAAGTCATGCAACTCTGTATTTACAAGCATACAAACCTTAGTTCACTCAGCCAAGTAACAGAAGATATCTTTCCCCTGAGAGATCTCTCCTGGCTCTGGCTCTAGCTCTTTCAAGCCTGCCAGCCTGTCTCTTCCCCCTGGCCTGGACACTTCATTCTCATGCCTTTTTCTTTCTGGGCTAACGGGCTAATGTCTTCTGGGCTTTCCTCAGCCAATCCCAAACTATCAATTAAACACAGCTTTGTCCCTCAAGTTTACTCCAGGGCAATTTAACTGGTGATTCAGAGATCAGAGGGCTGGTACAACTGATGTTGTTCAGCACCTTGTCACACCCTGCTAGAACTACCAAAGAGAATTTTAGCCTAATTACCTGAACGTCTCTTTTAATACACTTCACATGCTTACACACAAAAGTGCTTGTAGTGGTGTACAAGCATTTTATCAGTGCTTTTGCAATTGCACTGATTCTGAGCAAGACTCACCTAAGTTGCCTCCTGCCCTGCGACTCCCTGCACCATGGTAGTGCCAGTGTAGGACAGAAAGCACTGGCATTTCACTTGCATAGGTGCAACTGGTCTTCCAAGCACAGTTCTACAGTGCACCTGATATGCTGGCAGTGAGCTTTCTGGTCAAGGTTCTCCTCTCCAGAGCAGAGGTGATATTTCACCTATAAAGTTTAAGTGCTTATATTTTAGAAATAGAAAATTCAATGGGGCAGTGGATTGGAAGCAGTGTCTGGACCTGTAGGACAGATACCTACACCACACTACTACTGCAACAGTTCAGAAAATGCTGTATGTGCAAGCTGAGCACCTGAACAAGGGCAACTGTTGCAGATATTCTGCACTGTTGCAACTGCTCTAGGTCACTCATGCTGGTGTGGATTTCAGTGGCATTACTCCAGATTTATACAAGTGTAACAGAGCAGAATGTGGCCCAATTGCAATCACTGGGACAAACTGGGATACTCAGTGGTAGAATGTTTTGACACGAGAATGATAAAGCAGAAAGTAATTTTTTGAAGGATTTTGTAATCTCTCACCTAATGATTCTAGAGACATTATTTTACCGTCTTTAGTAAGATGGGGCGTAGCTGAAGGAAACCCTTCAACATTCAAAAATATCATGATCTGGGTCTGCACTTCAATGAGTTCAGGATTCTGGCTGTCTTCGCAGTTGGTGATTTTGAGAACATACTTGTCAGCACAGTCTGCTGTTCCCTCACTTCTTGAAACGTGCACGTGAAAATTCTGATCAGTATAGCTGGGGAGTGATCTGATCACAGATACTTTTAATCCAAATACCCTTTCAACTAATTCAGTGGCTTCTTTTTCACTGAATGTTGGTTTAATTAATGTCTGGGATCCATGGATGTTTCCAGAAGACATTGTGTATCTAGAAGAAAACAGAGATGAGAATATTTCAATTGTATTCTGCCATTTAATATGGGCAGATAGTGTAACAAAACAGACTCTTGGGTAGAAGGCGTTATACATTTATTAGCAAGGGGGAAAAAAGCTTCCCTGTTTAATGAAAATTTAACTATTTAGGATTCTCCATGTGCATTCTCTCTTTCTTCACCAGCTTCTTGTTTGTAAACCCACTTCAACCTTTGCTGCAGTTTCCAGTATAAGGCCTAATTTAAATATATACACACACATACACAATTTTAGTTGAGAAATAAAACATAAAAATGAACAATTTAGTGGATGCTAGCTAACAAAATTCATAAGCACGAAATATAAAATATCGCCAGTCAATGTTAAGGTCACCAGTCATATTGCTAATATACCAAGAATTTCCTAAGAAAGAAAGGGATCAAAATGCTATCCATGGCTCTTAAATTCAGATCCAGGATCAGATAACCCTTTCAACCAATGTTAACGTGTAAAAAGTAAGTGTAATCCTTCTGCCAGATGCTATCATTCAAAATTCAACGAAATATCAAGAAATATTCAGTGCCAATAAGTCAACAATACATTCAAAACAGCAGTACCATTAAAAAAAATCTAATCCATTCCCAAAAGCAGGGGTGGGCAAACTTTTTGGCCCAAGGGCCACAGCGGGGTTGCTAAACGGTACGGAGGGCCGGGTAGGGAAGGATGTGCCTCCTTAAACAGCCTGGCCCCCGCCCCCATCTGCCCCGCCCCACTTCCCAACCCCTAACCACGCCTCTGGGACTCCACCCCGTATCCAACGCCCCCCCCCCCCCAGCCTCCTGACCGCCCCCGAACCTCCGCCCCATCCAACCGCCCCTTGTCCCCTGACTGGCCCCCGGACCTCCTGCCCCCCCGACCCCCCACCATGCCGCTCAGAGCGGCAGGACTGGCTTATTGGAAAGCCCAGGGAAGGCGGGAGAGCGGGGGATGGGCCGGGAATGTAGGGGCTGGGCAGGATGGTCCCGCGCGCCGTAGTTTGCCCACCTCTGCCCCAAAGGTTCCTTTCCGTTTTCCCCCGATGCCAGATGTCAGTTTTTCTGTTGAAAGTGCTAAACCAACAGTTCTCCTCACAACCTCAGCCGAGCCTTGCCGCAACCTTGGACTCTGCTGAACCCAGCAGCCCCATCTGGTGTGGGATGGGGCAGCTCCGCCCCACCTGGGGACAGGGGGAGGGACAGGGGAGTGAGTGCATCTCAAGGGCCCAGCCACAACAACCGAACTATGCTCCCCATGTACAATCGTATTGGTGGCCCAATCCTGGTGTAAACCAGTTTGGTCTCGTGTAATAGAACCAAACGCCGTTTTAGCTCCATTCCTGACCTATGCCACAGCCCTGGCCTGTCTCCTATAACCTACACGGGCTCGAGACCCCCTTGTTCTTACTCCGGCTAACGCCCAGGCTTCTGCTTGCTCCGCCTCTCAAACTGGTTCTTTCACCGCGCTCCCCTGGGGGGAAATCCGCGACCGCTGCCCCGCAGGAGGGCATGCAGCTTTCACAGCAGCTAGGCAGCCCCAGCTCAGAGCACAGCCTCCGACAGCAGAGTGCCCCACGCTTCCCAAACGCGTCCTCAGAGATCTTAGACAATCCAACGGGGAACAAGAACCAGCCTAGGTTACAGCAGGGTCCCAACCTCCTAGCAGCAAACTGCGTGGGAGCAGATCCGAAAGAATCAGACACGCTGGCCAGGACGTGGCGTCTCTTCTGATCCTGGCCCATTACGCGCGCAAAGCGTCCCGTGTCCTCTCACAGCGCATCCACCCCGCACCGCCGGCGCAAAGCGGACTGGCTCCGATTTCCCCGGGGGAACGGTTCCATACCGCACACGGCGCTCGGCCTCGCTGGGCACCTCGGACGCTTGGAACCGGGCAAGTTCCTCCTCTCAGACCAGAAGCGGTCAGCTCCCCGGCTCGTCGCCGCTGGCGGAGTGTGAGGAAATGTCTGATTGGCTGCTGGGTGCGTTAGGTATCGTGTATTCAACTGCTCTGCGTAGGGATGTGCTAAGGGTAGCGGTTACTGACACGTCCTACATGGCAAGTTTCTGGCACTGTTGTATACGTGAAATTGCCACACATAGAAATGTGCTATCTGTAGCAGTTATTTATACGCATTGATTGTAAGAAACAGCTTTTGTAAAAAGATGGTACCTCCCTCATAGGTCATGTTTTCTAGACCTTAATTTTTTTTCCTCTTCTCTGGACTCTCTCCGGGTTGTCCACATCTTTCCTGAAATGTGGCGCCCATAACTGGACACAATACTCCAGCTGAGGCCTAATCAGCGCAGAGTAGAGCGGACATCCCAGAGTGATGTTCTGGTTTTCTGCGGCAGTGTTACACTGTTCGCTCATACTCAGCTTGTGGTCCACTAGGACTCCTAGATCCCTTTCCACAGTACTGGTATTCAGCTTGTGGTCCACTATGACCCCCAGATCCCTTTCCTCGGTACTCCTTCCTAGGAAGTCATTTTCCATTTTGTATGCGTGTAGCTTGTTATCATTCACAAACTTTATAATTGTACTCTCTACACCATTATCTCAATCATTGACTTAAGATTTTGAATAGAAACTTATCCAGAACTGATCCCTGGAGAACCCCACTCGTTATGCCCTTCCAGCCTGACTCAGCCCTTTCAGCCTGTGAATCACTGATAACTGCTGTGGGAACTGTTTTCCAACTAGTTTTGCACTCATCTTATTTTAGCTCCATCTAGGTTGCATTTCCATAGTTTGTTTATGAGACGGTCATGGGAGACCGTATCAAAAGTCTTACTAAAGGCAAGGTAGATCATGTCAGCCACTTCCCCACAACCACAAGGCTTGTTACACTGTTAAAGAAGGCTATCAGTTTGGTTTTACATGTGAGACTGCTTGAATTAGCTACATCAGATGGCCTTTTTTAGCAAAGTAGGACCTGTCACTGCTGCAGGTAGCCCAGTCCTACAGACAGCATTTTCACACACACTCGTGTAAGAAACTGCAATCTGTAGGGATGTGCTGCCTGTAACACTGCAATCTGATGAAACTAATACCTACAGATAGCAGTTTCTCACACCATGGGTATGTGAGACTGCTATCTGTAGCAATGAGCTACATCAGATGGCCTTTTTTTAGCAAAGTAGGACCTGTCACTGCTGCATATGTTTCTGGATAGTACAAGGCCCTGGAATCTAATAATAGAATCATAGAATATCAGGGTTGGAAGGGACCTCAGGAGGTCATCTAGTCCAACCCCCTGCTCAAAGCAGGACCAATCCCCAACTAAATCATTCCAGCCAGGGCTTTGTCAAGCCTGACCTTAAAAATCTCAAAGGAAGGAGATTCTACCAACTCCCTAGGTAACACATTCCAGTGCTTCACCACCCTCCTAGTGAAAAAGTTTTTCCTAATATCCGACGTAAACCTCCCCCACTGCAACTTGAGACCTTTACTCCTTGTTCTGTCATCTGCTACCACAGAGAACAGTCTAGATCCATTCTCTTTGGAACCCCCTTTCAGGTAGTTGAATGCAGCTCTCAAATCCCCTCTCATTCTTCTCTTCTGCAGACTAATCAATCCCAGTTCCCTCAGCCTCTCCTCATAAGTCATGTGCTCCAGCCCCCTAATAATTTTTGTTGCCCTCCGCTGGACTCTTTCCAATTTTTCCACATCCTCTTGTAGTGTGGGGCCCCAGACTGGACACAGTAATTCAGATGAGGCCACACCAATGTCGAATAGAGGGGAACGATCACGTCCCTCAATCTGCTGGCAATGCCCCTACTTATAGAGCCCAAAATGCCATTAGCTTTCTTGGGAACAAGGGCACACTGTTGACTCATATCCAGCTTCTCATCCACTGTAACCCCTAGGTCCTTTTCTGCAGAACTGCTGCCTCACTATTCGGTCCCTAGTCTGTAGCAGTGCATGGGATTCTTCACTTGTCCTTGTTGAACCTCATCAGATTTCTTTTGGCCCAATCCTCTAATTTGTCTAGGGCCCTCTGTATCCTATCCCAACCCTTCAGCGTATCTACCACTCCTCCCAGTTTAGTGTCATCTACAAACTTGCTGAGGGTGCAATCCACGCCATCCTCCAGATCATTAATGAAGATATTGAACAAAACCGGCCCCAGGACCGACCCTTGGGGCACTCCGCTTGATACTGGCTGCCAATTAGACATGGAGCCATGGATCACTACCCGTTGAGCTGGACGATCTAGCCAGCTTTCTATCCACCTTATTGTCCATTCATCCAGTCCGTACTTCTTCAACTTGCTGGCAAGAATACTGTGGGAGACAGTATCAAATGCTTTGCTAAAGTCAAGGAATAACACATCCGCTGCTTTCCCCTCATACACAGAGCCAGTTATCTCATCATAGAAGGCAATTAGTTTAGTCAGGCATGACTTGCCCTTGATGAATCCATGCTGACTGTTCCTGATCACTTTCCTCTCCTCTAATTGCTTCAGAATTGTTCTTTGAGGATCCGCTCCATGATTTTTCCAGGGACTGAGGTGAGGCTGACTGGCCTGTAGTTCCCCAGATCCTCCTTCTTCCCTTTTTTAAAGATGGGCACTACATTAGCCTTTTTCCAGTCATCCAGGACCTCCCCCGATCGCCATGAGTTTTCAAAGATAATGGCCAATGGCTCTGCAATCACATCCACCAACTCCTTTAGCACACTCGGATGTAGCGCATCCAGCCCCATGGACTTGTGCTCGTCCAGCTTTTCTAAATAGTCCCGAACCACTTCTTTCTCCACAGAGGGCTGGTCACCTCCTCCCCATGCTGTGCTGCCCAGTGCAGTAGTCTGGGAGCTGACCTTGTTCATGAAGACAGAGACAAAAAAGCATTGAGTACATTAGCTTTTTTCACATATTCTGTCACTAGGTTGCCTCCCTCATTCAGTAAGGGGCCCACACTTTCCTTGGCTTTCTTCTTGTTGCTAATATACCTAATGTATACACATTAACCCTCACGGAGCACATCACTATACAAAAAAAGTTTTGTCTGTGCCTGTAGTGGGGCAGCTTCCCCACTCTGATAAGCAGGGAATTAAAAGCAGGCAAGGTAGGCTAATTGAGGGAAGCAGCCACAGCTGTGGCCAGCTCAATTAGGGCCCAGCTGGCCCTGATAAGAGGGCTGTGGGCCAGAAGCTGGAGAAGTCTCACTCTAGCCCTGAAGTGGAGCAGTGCTGGGGAAGGGCAAGGGGAACTGGGGAGCTCCAGCCTGGTAAACCCCCCAGGCTGCAGGTCTTGATGAAGGCTTATGAAAAGGTACTGGGGCTGCAGAGGGGCAGCCTGGGAATAGGTAAAGGCAGCAGGTCCTAACCCCTTGCGAATGATGAATGGCCATGACAGACTGCAGTCTGCCCCAGTGAGCCGGGGCTAAATGATGACTGGCAGTAGCCACTGAGGCAAGGTGGGTTTAGAGGGTTGGGGGGTAGACATAGTAACCGTAGTGACTCTATGCTGACGTAACTTGAGTTAACACGCACTTAAAGTGTAGATATGGCCTTAGGTTTATTAAATGTTTGGGAGAGGTAACAGGAACAATATGAGGGTAGACTAAGATTCATTTAGGTGTTTAAGCTCAAGGCATTGGAACTAGCCTTACTGCACCCTACAGGCTCAGGAACAAAGAAGCACATAAAAAAAATTATTAAAATTTCTTGACTTGAGGGTGTATAACTCATGATTTTAGAATCCTTGTGGTTGTAAAGGTATCTTGGGGTTATAGATATGCGTTCATTATATTTTGAAAGGCTAAACTATGAATGGATTGAACAAAATTAGATCAGGCCCTCAGGATAAGTACATTGTCTATTAGCCAAGATAATCAGGGATGCAGGCCCATGCTCTGCATGTCCCTAAACTGACCTTTGACTGCCAGATGCTGGAAGTGGACAATGGGATGGTTCACTTAGTCATTGCCTGGTCTGATCATGCCCTTAGAAGCACCTGGCATTGACCACTATCACAAGACAGGATACTAGATTAGGCAGACTATTGGTCTGACCCACGATGGCAGTTCTAATTTTCTTCAAAAATTAGAATAGATTTTTTCCAGGGAGACAGATGTTATAGGAGATAGTATACTGCCTTTATTGAATATTTGAGAATCAAGTTGTATGCAATGGCATGCAGAAAAACACTAAGGGCTAGACTGAGAAGCAAAATAACAGTTGTAAAAATGCAATCCCCACTGGTGGATTGACTCAAAACTAAGTTTTGACACTAGGCCAGAAATTCAGTCAGCTCTAAAATGAGAAGAAAAAAATTAAATTTAAAAATTCAGGGAATCCCAGCAGCAGATAAGACAACTTGGGAAACTGCTAGGAGACTCTATGCAATCAGATACAGTGATAAGGGATTCTTTGTTTCTGAGGGGATAGATGTAAAATGTTTCACTGAATTAAGTCTCAGGGATTATTTATAGCGGCAAATTAAAGCGCTTTAACTTGCTGGCTCAGGGGTGTGAAAAATCCCCCCCCCCCCCAGAATGCAACAAGTTTGAGTGCTTTGCTAGTGTGGACTGGCTCGGCTCCCACTGCTCAGAGCTAATTTCCTTGTCGAGGTGGATTACCAGGAGCACTGGCACCCACAGCAGCACTTTGAACTTTGTACTCCAAACATAGCCTCAGTCGGTTAGGTAAGACAAAGAGCAGCTGCATTGAAGAATCCAGCCCTGGGAAGCCAATGCTGAGAGGTGCTGTCTGTGAGAGGGAAAATAAAAAAAAGCCCCTTTGCCTCCCACCATTTTGGCAAACGCTGGTGTCTCAGTCCCACTGGGGTACCTGTTACCCCCTGTGCCCTGCCTGTGCCAGGTTTTGCCCTCTGTCAGCACCTCGCACCGAGCTTAACTCCTGCTCCTCCCCCACAGCGCTGATTTTGCCCTTTAGCCCCCTCCTTATCCTGCCTCCAGCTGCTTGACCCCCCTGACCAGTCAATTTCCGCCCCCTGTTCAGACCCTGGCCACTCCCCTGCTCCGATTCGCCCCCTTTGTCCCCTTTTAACCCCTGTAAATAGCAGTCAGCAGAATTTTACGGCTAATAAGGGCAGGGTGAAGGGCTGTGGGTTCAGCAGATGTTACTGAGCATGCTCAGTTCGTGTGACCATACAAAAAAGACACTTTGCTCAAATAAAAAAAGCCTCACCCCCCAAACTATTTTGCAAAGCACTGGTGTCTCAGTCCCACTGGGGTAACTGCTACCCCCTGTGCCCCTGTCTGTGCCGGGTTTTGCCCTCTGACACCCTCTGCCAGCGCCCCACTCCTGGGCTTAACTCCACCTCATTCCTGATTTTGCCCTTTAGCCCCTCTCCTAATGCTGCCTCCAGCTGCTTGATGCCCCCGACTAGTAAATTTCCACCCCCTGCTCAGACCCTGGCCACCCTCCTGCTCAGATTCGCCCCCCTGTCCAGGTTCCTTCCCCACTCTGAACTCTAGGGTACAGATGTGGGGACCTGCATGAAAACCTCCTAACCTTACTTTTACCAGCTTAGGTTAAAACTTCCCCAAGGTACAAACTATTTTACCTTTTGCCCTTGGACTTTATCGCTGCCACCACCATACGTCTAACAGGTATATAATCGGGAAAGAGCCCATTTGGAAACATCTTTCCCCCCCAAAATCCTCCCAACCCTTACACCCCCTTTCCTGGGGAAGGCTTGATTAAAAATCCTCACCAATTTGCATAGGTGAACACAGACCCAAACCCTTGGATCTTAAGAACAATGAAAAAGCAATCAGATTCTTAGAAGAAGAATTTTAATAGAAGAAAAAGTAAAAAGAATCACCTCTGTAAAATCAGGATGGTAAATACCTTACAGGGTAATTAGATTCAAAACATAGAGAATCCCTCTAGGCAAAACCTTAAGTTACAGAAAGACACAAAAATAGGAATCTACATTCCATTCAGCACAGCCTATTTTCTCAGCCAT